TAAATGTCTGACAATGTCTGATTGTAGTTTGAAGATGGACAAAATTTGAAGATAATCACCAAGTTGAGAGATAAGCAACAATTTTACTTGATGAAAAAAGTGATGATATTCAGTGATTCAATACAGGGTTGGATACAATAAATATGACATGGTAACTGCAGCAATACATTCAAAATGTCTCTAAATTGCATTGTGTTGTTATGCATCATGTCCAATAGTGTCTTGTGACACTTTGCAGCGCATCATGTTGTAGTGTGTCATGTGTCCTGTTGTAGGGCAATGTTGTGTGTCTCTGGTTAGGGACAGTTTTTCAGAGTCTGTGATGTAGGAGGTACTTGGTTGGATCAAGTTTTTGGCTTAAGACAGCACAGTCCATGTTAAACTGACTTGTTCCATTTGGAGAAGAGGTCTTCAGGTCAAGGCAGTACACAAGGCTTGGTGAGGTCAGGTCACAGCATTCATACTGCTTCAAGATTTAACATGTGACAAACAGAAAAACAATTAGCAGGAGTATAAAACAACCAAAGTTAAAAAATAAGTGGCATAATCCATCTTAAAGGACATACCTGAACACATCCTGGGGCAGTAAGGCAACAAGGAGGGCTGGGTCCATCTTGGTCATCTTCATCCCAGAGCACCGAGGCATTGACATGAAGTAGGGTTGGTAATCCATAGCAGTCTTCTTCAGTTGTCATGGACACAACTTTGTTGGCTTTTCTGGTGGGCTGCAGGCTTCCATCACTGTATGGCATGTGTGTTCTGCAAGTATTTAACCAAAGAGTATGATTACATATATTCTTTGCATTTGTCTTATATTTATCAAATGTTTGGGGGTGCACAAGTAGCTCACCTGTTTGAGCGTTGAAGTCCACGTCCTTGTCACAGTGGCCCCTGAGTTCTTTGAGTGGAATTGCCAATTTTTTCCATGTGCCAATTGTTGAGAAATGGAAAGCCAAAGATTGGTTTCACTTGGTGTCTGATCCCATTTCAACCCTTTGAGTGGGTGGGGGTTCAACAGCTGACCCCTTTTGGATTACAAGGGAATTTAGTGTGGGAGTTTCTATGACAATACTGGAGAAAAATATGCCCTCATATACATACATGACACCTTGTCTACCCACAAATAATGCAAAGACAAAAGGCAAGGAGAAAGGCTTGAAACTAATGCACTGTTCTCACTTTGACAGAACCAGTTGCTTCTTCAAATACTGTACAAGCTACCTATGTGCTCCTACCTGCCTACTTTTTAACAAAAAACAGTATTGCCTGACTGCATCCATCAAATGCTGGTATTGCATCAGACCCTCCCACCCCATACCTCTCCAACATTGGCAAACAGGTATTTGTGCCACCCTTTATCTGCAACTTTCCCAAATTAACAATCTAACATCTAACACTCACTTCACACCTAAGTTTGACAAGTCATTTGGGACAATGCTTATCCCAATGTCTTGGTTAATTGCATAAGAAACAGCGACTCCAAGTTGTCTTGGTAGAGTTCATCCTCTGCTCCTGATTCTGTAGCTTCCCCCTAAAGTTTCTCTGCTTCAACCCTCATCTGACTTTGCATAAAAACAATCCCACATCTTTGTCCTCATGTCTCACCCTCTGTCATGCAGCTTTCCAACATTCACTGATGTTGTCACATCTGCAAAAGGAGCCGTTTCCCAGTTCAGCATGACGGCTTTCATGTGTTGGGTAAGATGTGACAAAAGATCATTGACTCAGCAGACAGCAAAAAGTGTTTGATCTTATTCATCCAAATGCTTTAGACTCACCCTCTACAAGTTATCATTGGTGTATATTGCTCTTCTGCAATATTCTAACGTGGTCCCAATTATCTTACTTTGATGCCAAATCTGCCAAAACCAGATGGATCCTTGTCTGGTTTCGGAAACTGGCAACTCTGCAAGGGTCAATGATCAGACTTCATCAAACACAGAGAAAAAGGGGAAGGATCAAATCCTTACCTTCTTATGCGAGTCGACTCTATTTACCTTGTTCTCTGTAGTTAAAGAAATCCAACCCATTAAAACCTTACTGATTTCCAAATTAAGGAAAAAAATATATTGACTGATAAGACTGACTTGTAAAGAGCTTGTTGTAGCATTTGGTTAAATTAGGAACAAGCATTTGAAGTTGTCTGCTTTGTCATTGGTCTCAAGACACATCTAGCCTAACATGTGAAAACAGTCATGCTAAATTAAGAAAACTGCTTCCTTTCACAGGTGTGATGGCAACAGTGAATGTTGAAAAGCCACATGTAGAGATAGTGAGATATGGGGACAAAGTAATAAGATTGTCTCCATGCAAAGTCAAATGAGGATTGAAGCAGAGAGAAACTTCAGGAGGAGGCCACAGAATCAGGAGCAAAGGAAGAACTCTGCCGAGACAACCATGTTGTAACCATCTCTAATGCAACTAACTGGGACGTTTCAGACAGAAAATCCAGGATAATCACCACTGGTTGTTCCTAGTTTTGGGCACAGGGATGCACAAGTGTTAAAATGCAACTAAAGACACAACAAAAAGAGAAAAATTATAAAAATACATCAGTGAACAAGGTTTATCAACCTTATAAAAGGTAAAAATAAGACAAAGTGAATCCAAGTCATGCTACCAAAATGGAAATCAATGCACTTAATACTTCCCCTTCACACTTCTGCCACAAGAAGACACTTTAACAACAGTCTACAGCCTTCCTATCAAAGCCTATCCTGTTTCCACTATGACAATGCCTTTTAACACAACTGCTAGGATTCAGCCTACAATATGATGCATTAGTTTAAATAATGTGTAACTCAGGAGAACATTGCAAAATTTGGTGTCAACCTGGTTCACTTCAATTGAGTCATGAATTATAATCAAGTTTAAATGAGTTGTCTCTCTGCCAAGTTTAGTTCCTCCCAAACGCGCTCCTGTCCTGTCCCTTCCTACAGAGTGAAGACAATCCCATATATGTATGAAACTGTCCAAATATATCCCTGCATCACCGATTACGCAGCAAAAACGAGCGACTGAGACGTACGCTAGTGTCATAACGCTTTGCAGGGGTGGATTAAATTCCCCTGCTGGGAGGCCTCCCAATATTATGTGCAACGATGAAACTTGAACACAGAAAGGTTCAACTTGAGTCTCCAGTTGGAATTAAACTTGGCAGATGAGACAAGGCCGCTTATACCTTGATGCAATGAAAGCAGGCAAAACTAGATATAATTTAGTATTTGGTCACAATTTGATAGCAAAATAGTCAGATGCCAATAGAGAATGAATGCTTCTCAAAATACATCATTCATGGGCTGAATAACCACCTGACAAAAGTCTCCAATTCAAGTCTAACAATGTTCAAATATTTTAATTGTAACAACTCCTCAAAAACTAATCAATAAAATTGTCCAAGAGCTAAATTTTGTCATTTCAACATGAAGGAATATCAGGGGAAAAAATACTGTTGAAATCTACTAAATATTCTGAATACTACTACATGCTCTTTGCAGTAATTTAGAATAAATCTCACACGATGTTCCATCTTAGTACTTTATAATTGACCCAACACTGAACCCATGATCAAAATAACTACAATGAACAACAACTTTCAAAGAAACAAGCTGTTTCATCTCATAGAAATAGATTTTCTCCAGTGATCATCATAAAAAACCCACTCTTCAAATTGAATTATTATTTAAGCTGAAAGTCTGACCCTGACTCAAACCCCCCTCCGCACCACATACAGACAGGTGGTGGTTCAGCCTTTGTTTAAAGTGGTGGTCGACTATGTCCTTTCAGTGACATCTTCCATTTGGAGGCGAGATCTTGAGGTCTAGGCAGTACACAGGGTTTGTTGTGCTCAGATCAGGCCACAGCATTCCAGCTTTGAATTTGAACACAAAAAAAAAGATTACAAAACAAGCAAGGTTTAAATAGAAGTGGATAATGCATCTGAAAGTATATATACCTGAAGACATCCTGGAGCGAAGATGCATCTTGATTGAGGAGGGCTGAGTCCATCTTGGCTATCTTCATCCTGGGACACAGACATTGTCACACCACAGCCTTTATCTTTAAGTTTGAACATGTGACACAGAAACAATAGGTATAAGTAAACAATAAGCAAGGTTCAAATATAAGTGGATAATCCATCTTTAAGAACATACCTGAAGACATCTTGGGACAAAGATATTGTTGGAGGATTGTGTCCATCTTCATCAGGGAACAGCATTCCAGCTTTAAGTTTTAACATGTGAAAAACAATTGGCATAAGTACACAGGCAAGATTCAAGTAGAAGTGGAGAATCCATCTTAAAGGACATACCTGAAGGTGGGCTGGCTCCATCCTGGCCGTCGAAGTGGTGGTGGGCTGGCTGGCTCCATCCTGGCCGTTGTGGTGGTAGTGGGCTGGCTGGCTCCATCCTGGCCGTCGTCATCCTGGTGGTGGTGGGCT